GTATTTTTATTTATATCATTTTTTTTTTATTTAAGTTGTTATCCACACTCAATTCGATTTAATCAGTACGTTATTTAATTTTGTAGTAATTTTCTATTGCAGGGTATTGTTTCACTGGTTCTTTCGATGCTTGTATTATGCCTAGAATTAAAATTCCACTTTCTCGATAGTCTGATTCATCAAAACGGTTGAGAATTTCGCACAAAAATCAAACAGCGGATTAAAATATATAAGCTTATATTGGCTAATCAACGAGTAATAATTGAACTAGACCAAACTAGGGAGTCAAGCGTTGAACGTTGCCGTCACCGATTATTCCAAAAAAATACACGATCAATAATAATACTTATTAAATTAGTAGAACTCGCAGGCCATACAATTTCTTAAATTTTATTTTTGCTAATGACTGTAACCTTGACTATTCTGTGCTAAATGATGTTTACATTAGTAAAATGGATAAAATATGCACAAATACCGAGCAAAAAAATGGAAGGCTAAAGCTCATGGACTATTTTTTAGTGGTGGAAAAGCATTTATATACCTAAAATTTCCAAACCAACATCAGTTCAGTCATTCACGGAATGTTTTGAACATGATTAGCCGGATATCAAACAAATAATAAAACACAACTTTTGACTCATATAGAGTTGGTGTTTTTAACGGGCAACGAAGTGCCATGACGATCACTTACTTATATTATACAAATCTAACAATTACCTAATTTCACATAGCTTGTTAAATTTTGCACAAATCGTTTTGTAATTGTTAAGATATTTTTAAAACTGATCATATATTAAATGATTAGGTCCATACTTAATTTTCTAATACAAAAATTTAAGAAATAAACATATTTTTATTTTAAATATAAAACGTCAAATATTTCATTCATAAACTTTATAAAAGGTAAATAGTTAAATTCTGACCATTAACACACATACACAGAGTATTGTCTTGGCGACGTATGTTTGCAACAATATAACATTTAACAATAATAAATTACATTTTATAATTGCTTAATTTCAACTTCTTTGGTGCTTAAAGGATTACGTTAAATGCTTATAATACGACATTTGACGTTTCATATTCATATGACGGTCGAATTAAAAATATTAAATATTTCATACATGGCGGGGTTTAAAAAAAAAACAATAATAATAATAATAATAACAATAACAATAATGAATTATTGAGGAATAATAAAAAAACAAAATAATGGTTAAGAGAAAATGACTCTATAATACTACCTCAGAGTTGGACGGATTGCGAATGATGTTCGTTCAAAAGTAGTTGTATTCAAACGCCTGAAGCGAGTCGACAGAACGTGGTAAAACAAAGTCCACTCCAGCCGTACAGCCTACGTCATTAAAGGTTTATTATAATAATGTGGGCATATGTATAAACACATTGATATATAGTAATACATATGGCCACGTTCCTGTTTAATAATACATACACTCAAATTTATAATAAATAATAGTAAATAAAAACACAAATAATATAAAACAAACAGTGATTTTTTCTTCGTGTACATCAGAAGAGATAACGGAAGCTTACACATTTACCAAAAACGAATTCAAATCCTTTTTGTAACTTATTTTTTATGTTACTATATATATTATACTATCCATATAATTTCTATCTATTTCCCCTAGATTTAATAAATCATAATACATCATCGAAAAAAAATATTTAATTTCACTTTGTTCAAAAATAATTATGACCGATAAACACATAAATTGTGAATGAAATATTATGAGGAACTGAAATCCATAGGGTAATATATTTATTTGTCACAATCATAAACGGTGGGTAAATTAAATAATGAATATTTAGTAAAATCCTAAAGGCTGTTCAGATATTTTAGGAAAAATTAAGAATAATTATTTATGAGTTCAATATTGCAGCTGGTGTTACATAGATTCAATTTTAGATTCTGAGTGTAGCAAGAAATGTATTGATTTTACCATGATGTGTGTTTTTTTTTTGTGTCTGTCATCACGTTTTAAGGC